TATAGCAGTCGTGCTGAACAAGCAAGTATAACAGCCGCAGTGCTGACTGCAGAAAATCACATGGATTTCTTGATATTTATCAGCAGACAGATATCAGACACTACCTATAGGCTACAGTATACAGTATATCTGTGATGAGCTACTATCCACCCATAATATTGACCATCACAATCCAGTAACTTAATATGCTTTCTTAAATATGGTATTCCAATACAATTGTAAGGCATTTTCACTTAAAGTAAATCTTTACTTTATACCTCTAGGCCTATCTATTTACACTTTATAGGGAAACCTTATATTTTTTGCATTTACTTCACAGCAGCAGCTACCGGTTACTTTGAATAGGTTTATAAAAGCACATAAAATATGATAAATTGATAGATTATTCTAACAGCATTATATAAAGTAAGTGACATTAGTTCTACCTCCACCAGCTCAACATTAAAAAATTAAAAATGTTGTCTACTTAATAACAATCCATTAATAATAATTTAGGTACATTTTGCTGACAATATGTATTATTACTTGAGTAATATTGTTTAAGTATGACTTTTAATTGCAAATGAGAATTTTTACATTGTGCCTAACCTCTTGTACCTTTTAACCCACTTATGCATTGCTGTGTACAATTTAGAGCAAGCACTACTCATAATCATGAGCTCCTGCACTGTTTTATGTAACGCTTATATCGGTTATTTTAGTCACACAACATTAGAATACTCTAATACTTCTGTATTGCAGCTTTATGTGTTGCATCTATTACACGGACAATATTCTTTCTTTATCAGGGGCCAACTGTTTGTATAAACTACGTCACGCTCAGGGGTTAGCCAATGAACGGCCTCTTTTCCCAATTCGCTATTTTGGCCCTGAATTATGTCTGTCAGACAAAGTGGCTCGCTGTTTGCTGGCTAAACACCGTCTACGGAAACGTCAGCAAATCATATACGTTATGTTTAAGCACTGGGCTATAACTATAGCTATAGATCAGGGTTATGAGTAGTCACATGACCTTTTAATTTTTGTGATTGAGGCGAGATTTGTGCCTAAGAGTCTTGACTCAGGAAAAAATACGACCTCGGGGCAATGCATTGATGTCATTGGTTTATGCAGTACTGGCGGGGCATTGTGAAGTATACGGACAGCTGGAAGCTAAAGTAAAAAGTTATTTTGTAGTGTTGTTTGATGAGATGTTGAATACACAAAAGACTCAGAGAACATGAATGAACCAGCAAAGATGCGTATCTGAAAATCAAATGTAAAGGTGGTTAATTTTGTGACTTGCCATTTAGTGGTGCTAAGCTAAAGTGAAGCGCGTTGCATTGTCATTTACTACCAGCTGGCAGTTAGCTGCTGTTAGGCGCTAGCTGAGCTCGAAACTGCTGATGATGAGCTCTTCACGGGAGATTAAACGTAAGTATTGCTTTATTTGTTTTATTACTTGTGTTTGCAAGTTGACACACGTTTGCAGTCCCTATTTGTTGGCGTCATTTACGCTGTTGATAGTTAAACGTTTATGTGTGATTATGCCGCAGAGCTACAAAAAGCAAAGAGCAAAGCCCAGAGCAGTAACAACTTAAAAGAGGAAGCTAACATCTGCAATCAACTAGGAGAGCTACTGGCCAGAAATGGTAAGTTAAGTAGTTTAGTGACATTTTTATCATATATAGCATATAAGTGGGCCATGGCACAGGCACATACAAAGATACAGATCAAAAAAAATTCAAGAAGAATACATGGTAGAGATGTGTTCAGATCTTACAAATACAGTACATAGTTTGTCATCATTTTATGAAGTGTACAGTCAGAGGTGATGTAGATAGACATACCTCCTAACATGTAAATTCAAATCGGATGTATTTACAATTGATTCATTAATTTATTTACAATAATATCTCTTTTTACAGAATGTACTTTTGAGTTTTTAGTTGTTTTATATCACTGGCATCATACATAATCCCTGCACCATTGTGTCCTTTCTCTTCTTTGAGATTTTACTAGAACGATTTAAATTACTGTCCTATCCTCAACTCTGCTCTTGTCACATGATCTCATTACTCCTGATTTATTTTCTTCTGCGTAGTGATTTTTTTTCCTTCTCTGTGACAGTTTAATATTGCATCACTTGTATAGTTAGTTTGTCCTTGTGTATCTCAGGCGATTATGAGACAGCCATTAGGGAGCACCAGCAAGAGCTGGCTCTCTCTGAGGTGCTCAATGATGTGATTGGACGAGCTGTGGCCAGCCGTAAGATTGGAGAGTGCTATGCAGAGATGGGAAACATTGAAGCAGCACTGAAAGTGAGTACATTTTACCTCTTGCTTGAAATGCTTCCTAAAATACCCATTTGTCTTATTGCCTGCAAATGTAAACTGTGGATATTAAACCAAATTCCTCTTCTTTGGATTTGTATCACTTAATTATAATGCTTTACTTCATAAATGTTGGAGTATCACATTGTAAATCCAACAAGGATGTTTAGGAAGCACATAAAAAGTTGTATTTCTCTTCTCCAGCACCAGCAGCATCATCTGGACCTGGCTCGCTCTGTCAGAAATCATGCTGAGGAACAAAGGGCACTGGCCACTATTGGTCGAACCTACCTCTTCAGTTATGAATCTGATCAATCAAGAAGCAGTTTAGAGCAAGCGGAGGATGCCTTCAGGAGGAGCCTTGCTATTGTGGACGAATGTCTAGAAGGTGTGTACTGTTTGTCTACAGGCTTGTGTATATCCTCTGGGAGTTGTAGAGACTACAGTTCTGTAGCTTTTGATTACTTGTTATCCTAACGATTTGGCATCTTCTTAACTCCAGGGTCAATACCACAGCGAGAGATTAGTGAGATGAAGGCTGGTCTGTTCCTGAATCTTGGTCTGGTCTGTGATCATCTGGGGCAGTCCAAACGCTGTAGCGAGTTTATCCGACGCAGTGTCTTTATTGCAGAGTATGAACATTCTAAACTCTATTCCATCATAGTGTAAATACTCAGAAACATGGTCAATTATCAGGAATGCAGACTGTTTTCATGCTGTTCACTGACAGTATTCAACAGGGACTTGGAGTAAGTGTACTTAACCGAACACTGCTTATCATAACATTTTGTTAATAGTTCTGTCTTCCTGTATTTTTTTATACTGTAAAGGAAGAGCCATCTGCTGGAGGATCTCTACCGTGCAAACTTCAACCTGGGCATCATCTGCTTTCGTAACAGTCAACCCTCCAATGCTGTGCGCTACCTCGACAAGGCCAAAGAGTGTGCCAGAAAGATCAAAAACAAGTTCAGTGAGAGCGAGTGCTTTCACTGTATCGGCAAAGTATGAACTATTTCCTGAGAAAATTACACGACCAACAGTTGACTGAAAAAAGCCAGCTTTCCCATTTCCTGTTACTGCAGCTCTGTGTTTTGTAATCTGTGCATCTCCATGACATTTATCCACAGGTGCAGCTCTCTCTGGGTGATTTTGTAGCAGCTAGACGATCCCTGAAGAAAGCTCTCTTACTGGGTTCCCAGCAGCCACTGGACAGGCAGGCAGTGAAGAAAGCTTTCAGATATGGTGACAGAGCTGGTTTGATTCACCCAGTCTTGCTTTGTTATTTAATTATCTCATTTGAGTTATTGTTATATGGCTGAGCTGATGGTGTAATTGCTTTTTTTATTTTTTATTTTTTTATTTCATAGCTGACAAGGGCTGTAAATTAGAGGAAGAGTTTGGGGAAGATCAGGGCAAAAGACTGGGCTCCCGTCAGGCTGTGGAGCTGGCAGAGCAGCTTGGGGACCTCTACTGTAAGGTTGGCTGCTATAGCAAAGCTCTGGATGCCTATAAAGCTCAGGTAGGAAACATGACAAACATTTAAGAGTGTATTTTACATGCATTGATTTCAGTGTAGAATGTCTCTGAATGATAGTCTTTGTTGTTTATGTGGTTAAGCTAAGGGGTGCTGAGGCATTGGGAAAACCTGCCAGGGAGCTCGCTGTCATGCACGTGTCCCTGGCTGTGACCTACACAGACCTGAGACAGCACAGCAAGGCAGTGGAGCACTACAGACAGGAGCTGGCCTTACGGCAAGGAAGCTCCACCGAGGTATATGTGAACAATCACCGTCTTCAACCAAGATTACGCTGTTTCAGTGGCCTTTGTGTGGTTTTAGGGTTTTATCTGTATTTCCCAAAAACCAAATCATCTACAGTACTCCAATATTTCACAAATGGACAATGATAGGGGCCTAGGCATGGTATCATATACCGTACAGTATTGACTTGGGTATAAAAATAAAAAATGTCAGTTCAGTCACCCTCATGATGGTGGGAGAAATATTTCACATAGCCATAAAGTAGTCTTAATTAAGATGTTCTACTTTGAAAATGAAACTTTCAAAACAGGGTTTATATTGTTTAAAGTGATAAATCTCGATTATGTAACTTATCACCCATATGCATCTGTATCAGGAGTGTAGCACATGGCTGAACATTGCAGCGGCACAGGAGGAGAGCGGCTGTGCCTTTGAGGACGTAGACAGTAGCTACAGTATGGCCTTACGCTGTGCTCAGAAGTCTGGGCAAGCCAGATTGCAGGTGAGTTGGCATGAACAGTTCAAAGTTCTGAAAAAAACTGGAAATGTATTGACTAAGATCAAATGGAATTAAGAACCTGATTTAGTACAAAAATAGTCTAATACTAATACTCTGAAAACGGAACACTTAGATGATCTTATAAGATGATGTTTTTCTCATTTTCTGTCCCACAGAAACGTGTGCTGAGGCTCTGGCTGGTGTCCCAGAGGCGAAGCGGCTCATCTAATACTGATGAGACTGAGGCGAGACTGCAGCAGCTGTGTGTTGCTGAGGGCTGGAGTCCAGATGGGAGTGATGGTGAGGAGGATGAAGAGGAAGAGATGGACAACAGTGAGCCTCTGGATGACAGTGACGTCATCCTCTCAGACTCAGGTAGGTAGACTGTGCGCTGATGACAGGGAGCTGGACCTCTGCCTTCTCACATTTTGAGACATTTTGTATGCTATGACTTTTCATCGGTTTTTCATGCTGTTTCTAGATGATGATTTGGAGGGTTATGACAAGATGGTACCAGGACGGAGGAAGGCAGGAAGGGTGAGTCATACATCAGTTGTTACGTTGCACAAGCAGTCATCTCATCTTTGTGTTAAGTGTTTTGCATCTTTAGCATTTTACCATCTGCCCCTGTCTTTGTGCTGTAGTGGAACAAGAGGAACGAGAAGGGCGAGACGTCACTGCACAGAGCTTGTATAGATGGAAACCTGAAGCAGGTCCAGTACCTGGTGGAACAGGTGAGAAGAACAAGATTTCCAATTTATGTTTTAAAAATTATTGCATTTTTTCCATAGAAAATGTGTCCAAAAAAGCTAAATCAACACCCCTGGAAAGCAGAACACAATGAAAATCAGATACACAAGAGTAAAATCTCAGTAAACTGTAAAAGTCTAGTAAGTAAACAAACCTTTTGTACTTGAGGTACTTTGCTAAACTTGTTAAAGGTGTACTACATGACTCATTTCATTCATTTTAAGAAGAGAGATGGTCTGCTCAGCTGCATGAAGGTGAAGGAAATAAATAAAAGGCTACAGACAGAAACCATGACATCAGACAGTCTGGATTATATTATAATTAACATTTGCCTTCTCATCTGTACATCAGGGGCACCCAGTGAACCCCAGAGACTACTGTGGCTGGACCCCACTGCATGAGGCCTGCAATCACGGTCACTACGGTAACGGATTTAAGATGAACTGTGTTTACCCTCTTTTTAAAAGTTCCTTTATGAAAATAAAAAGAAAAACTTTTGCAACCTCTCCCTGATCCATTATTTCTCATTCAGACATTGTAGCTGTGCTGTTGGACCGCGGCGCTAACATCAATGATCCTGGTGGTCCCTTATGTGATGGAGTGACGCCTCTCCACGATGCCCTCGCTTGTGGCAATTTCACAGTTGCAAGACTGTTGGTGGAACGTGGGGCTTCTGTCACCCTGCGCAACTCCAAGGTGTGTGTGTGGTTACATGTTGTTAGCAGCGTCATAATTCATAACACAGATTGATGTCACATGGGGATGTCAGTCAGTTGATATCCCCGTGTGATATTAGTCGACAAGACCAATACCAAACAGACAAACAGAAATAAAACAGTACAATTAATTTAGGCCTGGTTTTATTCGCAACCTCTCACTATACAATTTTGTCAGGGTTCAACTGCATTTGTCCAGGGGCAAACACTGTGGGGGCCAGACTTTCATGATGATTGTTCGTACAGCAGCATAAATACAGTGACTACAATATATTTTTTATTGTATTATTTAAAAAAACACCCCTCAGCCCCTGTGTATTTCACACAGTGGCTATTGCTATTCAGTGCACGACCAGCAAAGCACGCACAGTTTTGTGAGTGAGTGACTCCTACATCGGCTTGTGTAGGCTGCTCACTAACGATACGCTGACAGATGGATTTATAACGTCTTTAGAACCCACAGGTTTGGGGTCAGTAAATCAATCCTAATAAAATTATGTCTATCTCAATTGCTTTTTTGGGGTTGGTGGGGGCGACGACTTTAGATATTCCAAACACCGGAAAGTATTTTTTCCTCCTCATATTTTCTGACTTCATTGATATGCTGTGAGCAGAAAGGAAAACAGGCCGGATTTGGCCCACTAGCCAGTGGTTGGCAACCCATGAGTTAGCTTGTTGAATCTGTGAGATAAAATGGCACATCTGTATTTTCCATGTATAGTCTCTCCAGAAACTGGATGCAGTAGGTGTATGTGTTCTTCCCATCTTTTCTTAACTTGGACCAGCAAGTTTACAGAAAATTGGGACTGTTACTGAGGCAATGGTGAAAACAAACGTATTGTGCTCTGGATGTGACTGAAATCACTGGCCAGCGTTGGTAATACTGAAACCACCCCACCACCCCACAGATGTAATTTACACTTTCACCATCCTCTGTCAGGGTGAGACAGCCATGGACACCCTGCGTCAGTGGCAGAGGACGTACAGCAGAGAGCTAGACCAGGACACCAGACAGGAGTGTATCGCTACAGAGAGGCTGCTGAGGAAGGCGCTCGCAGGGGGAGGTGAGGCTTTTACATCGCTAAACCATGGTCTTTTACATGTCCTTTCAAACGCTTCTTTTTTCTCACTTATCTCTGGCTAACACAGGGCCTGCTGCTCTGGCCACAGCCAAACCTTTTGATGCCCTTCAGGACAGCCAGTTATTTGATGCTGAGAACTCTGTGCCGCTGTCGTCCCCTGGAGGGGACTGCTCCTCCAGTCAAGACTGGCCTCGAAACAACAGGAACTCAGAGGTGAAGGCAGCACCTGGCAGCCCCAGACAGAGGCATAGCAGTGGTTCATCACGGCGGCACAGAGCCAGAAGAACAAACGCTGCCGTTCTGTATGGGGTAATGTCTGGAGAATGCTTTCTACATGGATAAAAGCACTGCATAATTTGTTCTCACAAATGCTTTGGTTTCATTGAAATTATACAGTCTGAATTGTTTAGATCCACAGTTACAGTACATGATTTGTTTGTATTTATATATTCCTTAGAGTAACAGCAGCTCCTCAGATGACAGTGATTCTGACTGCCCTATCAGTCCTCTCCGTCCTGTGCGTCCCAGCCCCAGTTTCCCAGCAGCCCCGAGTCAAAAAGAAGCTCCCCCAAACAAGGAAGTCGGCTTGATCCCTAATTCGAGTCGGGAAAGTGTCCGAGAGGCCCCTGCTCCGAGCGTCTTTGCACGAGAGGAGTACCAGAGTGCCATCCGAGGCTTGGGCAGTGCCAAAACTCTTCAGGGTCTGTCACAGCCCCAGTTTTCCAGCACTCCTCCTGTTTCATCCAGCAAGAAATCAGCTCTGGTTCCTGAGGAGGAGTGTCTGGCTGATGACTGGCTGGAGGATGACATGGGGGACAGTCAGCCCAAGAAGAAGAGGAGGCTTCGAGTGGAGGAGAATGGGATGCAAAGAGAGGGCGCTGATTCGTTTTCAGCAGCCAGAAGTCAGAACAGGCAATTTACAGGTTCTGCAGTTCCCTCATCCTCCAGCAGGAGTCTCTCTATGAGAAACAACAGCTCTCAGAGGCCTCACCAGGTTAAAATGACTCAGTTGCCTGGGATGGGACCAGGACACCAGACAGGAGTGTATCGCTACAGAGAGGCTGCTGAGGAAGGCGCTCGCAGGGGGAGGTGAGGCTTTTACATCGCTAAACCATGGTCTTTTACATGTCCTTTCAAACGCTTCTTTTTTCTCACTTATCTCTGGCTAACACAGGGCCTGCTGCTCTGGCCACAGCCAAACCTTTTGATGCCCTTCAGGACAGCCAGTTATTTGATGCTGAGAACTCTGTGCCGCTGTCGTCCCCTGGAGGGGACTGCTCCTCCAGTCAAGACTGGCCTCGAAACAACAGGAACTCAGAGGTGAAGGCAGCACCTGGCAGCCCCAGACAGAGGCATAGCAGTGGTTCATCACGGCGGCACAGAGCCAGAAGAACAAACGCTGCCGTTCTGTATGGGGTAATGTCTGGAGAATGCTTTCTACATGGATAAAAGCACTGCATAATTTGTTCTCACAAATGCTTTGGTTTCATTGAAATTATACAGTCTGAATTGTTTAGATCCACAGTTACAGTACATGATTTGTTTGTATTTATATATTCCTTAGAGTAACAGCAGCTCCTCAGATGACAGTGATTCTGACTGCCCTATCAGTCCTCTCCGTCCTGTGCGTCCCAGACCCAGTTTCCCAGCAGCCCCGAGTCAAAAAGAAGCTCCCCCAAACAAGGAAGTCGGCTTGATCCCTAATTCGAGTCGGGAAAGTGTCCGAGAGGCCCCTGCTCCGAGCGTCTTTGCACGAGAGGAGTACCAGAGTGCCATCCGAGGCTTGGGCAGTGCCAAAACTCTTCAGGGTCTGTCACAGCCCCAGTTTTCCAGCACTCCTTCTGTTTCATCCAGCAAGAAATCAGCTCTGGTTCCTGAGGAGGAGTGTATGGCTGATGACTGGCTGGAGGATGACATGGGGGACAGTCAGCCCAAGAAGAAGAGGAGGCTTCGAGTGGAGGAGAATGGGATGCAAAGAGAGGGCGCTGATTCGTTTTCAGCAGCCAGAAGTCAGAACAGGCAATTTACAGGTTCTGCAGTTCCCTCATCCTCCAGCAGGAGTCTCTCTATGAGAAACAACAGCTCTCAGAGGCCTCACCAGGTTAAAATGACTCAGTTGCCTGGGATGGTCAGGCTGGGCAGGCGAGAGGTCAGCAGATCTCACAGTCCCACCGTTACAGATGATGACACCCCACCACCCCAACAAATACGCACTCAGGTCAGAAGAGAATAGTTGTTGCTCTCTTTCCGATGAGTCACTGATGGTCATTTTCTAGAAATATGTGCACAACACAGTACGAGTTACCATGAATAAAGGTATCATAGCTATGAGTTATTTCAGGCTCAAATGAGTCATAATAAAAAATCTGAAAGAAATTTCACATTCTATATGCAGGAGAACATTGACCTCATTGTGACATGGTGGTTGAAATCATAGTTTTACATGAGTCACACACACCGCACAGTTCCAGTATCGAAATCTGCATGTAGTCGTCTTGATTTTACATCACATTTTACATTAATAAACCCAGTTTATTAGGTATACCAAGTTAAAACTAATGCAGTCTAACACAACAGTCCTTAAACAAATCCTCACTTCATGAAGGTGATAATGTTTCGTTTTTGTGAAAGTGTTTCAGATAGGTGCTGAATAAACTGTACGATCGGGGGTCATGGTTAGTGCTGCTGTCGGATTATTTTACATTTCTAAAACACTGGCAATGTTGAATATTGTTCAGTTCACTTTGTGACAAGGCAGCAATGTGTTTCATACATGCTGCCAGTCAACGTTTGGACACACTTTCCCATTCAGTTCAGTGGGAAGACTGGTAGTGTATTTCTAGGCCTGTGTGTGATCACATAGTTAATATTCTTAAATGAAAGAAGTTTGTTTTGTGCTTATGTATTTTTTTATTTTACCTTTCAATGTATGTCAGCCTCTACCTCAAACACTGGTTGTCCCTATGCCCACATCACTGCCTCCACCAATCAGAGTGAGGGTCAGAGTTCAGGAAGATGTTTTCCTCATCCCAGTTCCACAAAGGTTGGTATATAATATTTAATGAATGGATGGATTGTATTATTTGCTCTTTTCCTCAGAAATATTCTGCGGTCAGGTTATAAAGTTTGTACTTTGAAGTAGCATGAGGGATTTTACAATTTTGACATTTACCTTTGGCTTAATACCAGTGTTTCTGCATGTCTTTATCAATATTCCCACCTCCTCATTCTGCTGTGTTGCAGTGAGGCAGACTCCTGCACTGTGTCCTGGCTGTGTGAGCAGGCAGCTCAGCGTTACTACCAGAAGTGTGGCCTCCTGCCTCGCCTCTCGCTGCAGAAGGAAGGTGCTCTTCTCTCCCCACAGGACCTGCTGCTGGCTGTCCTGCACACCAATGAAGAGGTGAGGAAGTGCCTGTTTTAAGATCACATTTGCTCATTTTAGTCAGGACAGAATTA